TCCTGCTCCTCTGATGCTGCCTGGCCTGCTGTGTTCACCCAGCTCTACACCTTGTTAACCAAGAAATATATAGTAGGTTTTGTTTACTTGCTTTGATATACACACTTACTCCCAACTGAACTCACTCTACTAAACCTAAAACCTTGGAGGCAGGCTGGCAAAAATCCTTAAATGTTTATAGTGATATTGCTGGTGTTTAAACAGCTAAAACCAAGTCACTTAATAACAATGGCAACATTATCCACTGCTCATGCAGGCATGAGTACAAAAACAGTTTGGCCAGAACTCATTTAATAAATATCTTGGATTTCAGTGAGAATTAGACAAGTAAATCTTAATGAAAATGTAATGCTGGCAGCTGTACAGAAAAGTATGTTTTAACTGCTCTGGTTTATCTGTTACTATTTGTCACATATTTTTTCCTTCTGTTTAGCTCAACCATTCTAAGGCATCAGCCAGGAGAGCAACAAAATTTCCAGAAATAAAGCACTTACCGCCTGACAGCATAAAAAGATTCTCAAAACCTCTCTCGCATAATGTTGTGGCAGCCTGACTAGCTATCCGTTCATCTTCATCATAAAGCAGAATGATTTTCCCGGATGCATTTTTCTAAGTTCAGTTATTAAGGCAGCTAGTATCATCTTAAATTGACAAACTTCAAGTTGATGTCAAATAAGTAGTAAAGACGGTTAACCCAAATTAACCAGGTTAGTGGGAATGAAGAAAGGGAGGAGGGTGAAACATACAAAGGCGCAACATTCTGAATCCAAATTTTCACCTACAAGCTGTTTTGTTGCATAACAATAAAAAGCTATCTGTAAATTGGGATATCAGAATGGCACTAAAGATGGGAAGATTGGGTTTAAAAAAAAACATTGGGAAATTTCTTCTATCTGCTAAGGGCTGGATTTAAAAACCAGGTTCTTATGGTTGAAGGACAGTGATAAAATTTCAGACACAAACATGAACATCTCTTCTCCCATTGTTGCTCCAGGGTTTGGGTGGGTGGAGAGAAAGAAAATGAAAGGGAGCTTTATTTTACATTTTGCCTATATTATGCAATAGCTTTTGGTTTGTCCAATAGGTCAAAGGTTTCCTAATTAAGAAAAATATTAATTGACCACCAACTGGAACTGATGGATAAAAGGGAGGTGATGGGGGGAGGTGGGGGGAGCGGGTAGTGCAGAAGATGGACAAACTAAATTTCTTTCTAATACAGCTTCAGTTATACGAACTGCAACTTGAACAGCATTACATTCCTGGTGGTGGCGCTGCATTGATTTATCACACTGTCCCTTACTCTGTGTGACCATCAAATCTGCCCATTCTGATGAAACATAAATTGGGGAAACAACACCCCATTTTCTGCCCAGGCACCTTACAGCCATCAGGATTCAATTTTGAGTTTAACAAGTGCAGAGTATGTACAAGATCAAACCTAATCACCTGCGTTAGACTCTCCAAATAGATAAGAGATTGGGAACCTAATTTCAGAAGCAGGTCACTTAGTGCACAGATCTGAAGATTTAAAGGATACGTATTCTAGAATCTCCTTTGTATACGGGTTCATTGTCCTGGACAACATTGCTACAGGATAACTGTAGGCTGAAAGGCAAGGGTAAACAATTTCAGTTGAGCGTGGATTAAGCAGTTTTAAGTTAACAGTGCAAGTTTTACAACAAGAGTCGATCCTCATAAATAAAAATCCTGTATCTAGTATGTGTCAGTTATATTTTGCAGTGTAATACATTCAAAGTGAAAATCCTTCTCCCAGTTACACTTGCTCAATTGACTGAGATGTCATTTACATAAAAGCTAATTGCAACTAATCATTCAACAATATTGACTGTGTACAATATACAATGTCACGGAACAGGACACCAATAGTCAGTACAAGTTCAGACTCAGAAAAGCAGTGAATCTTAGTAATGCTTAAAAGAGAGATAACATTCTCAGGCTAGTTTCTCTTACATTTCCACAATGACCTTCCATCCAGAATACACTGCTGTCCTAAGGAGTATTGGGGCAAAATATCTTTAAATTACGGAATAATTTAATTGCAAAGTGTGTTATCCATGTGATACTAATACTTTAGAAAAGGTTAGTGAGTACTAAATGACTGTTGGTATTTAATATCTTCTACTTAAGGTAAGAAATACACATGTTCGATACTAAAGGTCAATTCTATTGTAAAGTTTTATAGTTTTATAGTACAATTTACTCTCTGATTCAAAGGTTCAACAGCATGTACTAGGAATTTGAGCAGAAAGGACAGTTCAAATCACAGGATTTTTATCTATTAGCCCTACGAGCATATGTGCCATCATACCCTGAATCCTTAAGCACTGATGACATACAAAGGTTTTATTTTAGATATATTATGTACAGCCTCATACCTCTGCTTTATTTTCTATTAATTGGGAAGAAGGGACAATATTGTGGTGATGCATAAGAAATGTTAACACAATATTCTGACCAAAATACTGAAATAAGGCAAAAAAAAGAAACAAATAAAAAGAAAATAATCTTTGATATAAGAGAGTTCATATTTCAATGACATGACTAAGCTGTAAAAATACCAGAATATGTTTTCACCTTTGTTGCATGAGCAGTGAGCTGGCAGAGAAGAACACCTACCAATTATAGTACCTGTTCCATTGAGATCTTTGGAGTGAAAATAAATCAGGCAGATGCTTTAACAGTTGGATAATCCAGTAAATACAGCTAACAGACAAAGGTGAGTTTTTGCTCTATTCTATCAATTTATCACGGGAAGCTGTACTGGTCAATAGCTATACTAATCACTATAACCTAAATCAAATATATGACTATTTAAACTGCATCCCCATGTATTATACCGGTGATTAACATAATTTTCATCTATATCTATTACCTCCAATAATGTGACAGTGATCATAGGCATCACGGTCTCGTACATCCAAAAGCAAGTAAGGGCAGTCCGGGTATGGTCCAGCTGTTTTTTCTGGACAGGGACAGAGCTCAGGTTGGGACAATTTCTGATTCTCTTTCTCCAGATCAATTTCCCCAACACCACTTATAACACTACAGAGAAAAATAAAAACTGTTGACAAATCACACAGCAGTCTTTACCGCAATTATCAAACACTAATATTTAATTTTTAAAGGAAAAATTTTGAAAACGTATACAGATATTTTTTGGACAAACGAACAATAAGTGTTTAGAAATTCTACACCTAATCCCACAGCAGCTTATTTTGTAAAGTACTGTACAGGAGAGAAATTATTCAAAAATATTAGGAATATTCCCTGTTCAATAGTCAGTCTACACTGACCTCTGCAAGCACAACAATTAGAATGTAACAACTTACATCAATTGCCTCGAATTTAGGCAGGAAGAAACAATTAAAAAGGAATCAGTCAGGATTTACTTTCACGATCCCTATCTTGTGACTCCTGTTCAAAAATCTACATGTCACCAGGAGTAAATTCAAATCAAAACGACAGTTGATCACTTAAGAAATGAGGATGATTCTGTGTCATGATTGTCAAGGCATCTGTAAACCATTACTTGGAAATTTTTCAAACAATTATTAAAAATTTTTACAGACTACCAACCTATCTGCAAGAAGTGTTCATGATTTAGTTATTTTTTTCTTTATTCTTTCATGAGACGTGGTTATTGCTGGTAAGGTCAGCATTTAGGCCCATCCCTAATTGTTCTTGAACTGAGTGGGTTGCTCAGGCATTTCAGAGGGCAATTAACCTTGAACCACATTACTGTGGGTCCAGTGTCACATGTAGGCCAGACCAAACAAGGGCAGCAGTTTTATTTCCCTAAAGAATATTAGTGAACCAAACTGGTTTTTATGACAATCAATGGTATTTTTGTGACACCAGTACTGAGACTAAGGACAGAAAAATTGAAGGGGAAATGGGCAGACTATTCATCTCTCCCTGTTAGAAAGTTGCTAGCTAGCTAATGTACCAAAAAGTCTGGTCTTCAGTCACATTGCACTATGAGTGGGTTAAATTAGTGAATAGTGGGAAGTCCCACCTCCCAGCCATCAGACCTGTTAGTGCCAGAGCTCAGTAGCAAGTGTTAACAGGACTGCAGGCAGGCTCACAAAGGAGGCCTGATGGATCCCAGAATGAGGTTAGTCAGGGACATTAGGTGGGTAGCATTTGCTACCCCTTTAAGGGATGGGGTATGGGTTTTGAAGTATAAGTGGATGGAAAGGAAGGGGAGGGCTGTTATCATGACAAAGGCCAAATGCCAAATACAGTCAAACCCTTCCTTCCTGCTGTTTTAATAATTTAAAAGTGAAAAGGGTTGTTGACTCATGCCTGCTTGTCTTGTTTTTTTATGCCATTTTAAGCGACATATGCTGATGATTTCAGCACCCACCCACCTTCTCTGTTTCAGGTGCAAGCTTGGGATAGACGGGCAAGTGGTGAACTAGCCATCTGATCTAATTTATATGCTGTCACTGAAAACACAGCCTGCAGGTATACAATATCTGGCCTAGCTTTCAATTCCAGATTTATTAATTGAATTTCAATTCCACCACCTACTGTGGTGAGATTTGACCCCTTGTATACAAAGCATTAGTTTGGGCCTTTGGATTATTAATCTAGTGCCATTAACTCTATGCCACTCACCTTACCTATATCTGAATGAGTGTTATGATTTAACATTTCATCGGGCTGAAATGAAACAGCTAGCTGAAAAAGTTAGTACTATTGCCCTTTAAGATGCTGATTGACTCCATGGGATTCTGGATATTCAGAATTTTACTTTGCTTTTTAAAAAATAACATCATTTATCTACCCAGAATTCATTCCTCAATATGAAACTAAAGCTACAGAAGGTCATTTTACAAAGACCTTCCCCAATTTTCAGGCAAGTGAAACTATTATTCTGTGATAATAAAGAGAATCATCATCATGATCTTTTTCCAGCATAACAATCCTCACCTTTGGAGGGTAGAGCGGACTGAAAATGGTTTGTCAACTGAATCCTCATTACTTGTTAGTTCTATAGGGGATTTCTGCTGCACTTCCACAGGACTTCGTTCCTCATTATCCTTAATTGCAAGGAGCTCAGGCTCTGGTGCAGAAAGCACTGAATTTGAACCTGGGTGAAAAAAACAATGTAAAACTAAGCCTAAAAAATTCAGAGGATTTCTATATGCCAATTCAAAATTAGGAAGGTAAAAACTTTTAGATACATTTCATTAAATAAGTTGCATTAGAAAAATACATTAGCAGATGTGATGTGTTGCCTATTGTCATGTCCTTTTCTATTTATAAACAAGGTAAAGTACCTTATTAAATCCTTTACCGTATAAAAATTTAGTGATTTCTTCTAATTGTAGACAATTCTATGGAATAGATAACCAAAGATATGTCATACCAACCTTCTTCCCGTTGTTGTTCGACAAACACCCGTTCACCTTGTTCATTCACAGAAGCCACCTGTAGCACCTAAGGATATCACAAAGTCAAGAGAAATAGAAAGATTGTATTAAATTTTCTGAAGGAACAAGTTTTTAAAATTTATTTCTCTTCAATTTTTTGCAACTACAATTGCACGTTTTGCAAGTGCTCTCCATGTGCACTATAGTACTGCATACTAAGGAGTAGAACATAGAACTGTACAGCACAGTATAGGCCCTTCGGCCCACGATATTGTGCTGAACTTTTACCCTAAACCTAAGGCCTATCTAACCTCCACCCCTACCTAATTGCAACGTCACTAGTTTCACTCAGAATTTCGTAGATTTCATAATCTGCAAGACTGTGACTCAACTTGTTTATAGCTATCATCAGAACCAAACATTATATTATAGGATGAATCTTATTGAGTAGCATTTACATCAGATTTGAGGATACTGAGGGGAATATCAGAAGGCTATCCAACCTTAAGATGCCAACAAACTTCTCTTTAACCTCCAACATTTTCTAGAGCCCAAGGCCCCTAAATTGCCTCACCTGGAAGAAATGTTATTTGTATATGTTTAAAATTAGCGTCCTGAATTTGTGGGTTTTAGTGACGTCTCTTATATAATGGACAGACCAAACAAAAGTTGGGTGATCACTTCACAGAACATGCCTTTCACGGGGCGACCTTCAGGTTCCATTCACATGTAATTCCAATTTTTTACCTGATATTGACCTCTCTGTTCCATCCCTCTTACACTGTGGCAGAAAAGCTCAATGCAAAATTGAGGTAAAGCACTGTATTTGTCAATTAGGTGTTTTCATTCTTCCAAATTTAATACTATGTTAACAATTCCAAATATAACCTTGGCTCCCAGTTTTTACTTTATGTTTCTATTAAATATAACAACTAATATTTACATTGAACATAGATTGTAAGAAAACTTACTAAGGTTCTTCACAAGTGCATTATAAAACAAAGTAAGATCTATGAACCACGTAAGGAGATATTTAGTTGGATGACCAAAAGGTTGATCAAAAAGGTAGATTTTAAAGGACAGTATCAAAGGAGAGGCAGAGAGATGTCAGGAGTGAATTCCACAGCTCGGAGTATAGGCAACAAAGGGTGCAGCCACCAATTGTGGTGTAGTTAAACAAGGGATGCACAAGAAACTAGAATAAGAGCAGTGTAGATATGACAAAGGGTTGTGAGGTTGGAGATTACAGAAATAGGAAGTGACATGGCCTTGCAGGGATTTGAAAATAAAAATTAGAATTTTAAAATTAAAATGTTGTTTGACTAGGATCCAATATAGGTCTTGGAGGACAGATTTTTTTTTAATACTTCATTTACTGGATTTGGGTATCACTGGCAAGGCCAGAATTTATTGGATAGCCCTAACTGCCCTCAAGAAAGTAGAGGATGAGCCTCCTTCTTGACCTGAGCAATCCATGGGGGATGTGGGAATGGGACTTGCTGCAAGTTAGGAGACAGACAGCAGAGTTTTAGATGGGCTTAAGTGTAAAGAGGGTAGAATTTGGGAAACCTACCAAGAGTGCATTGGAATAGTCAAATCTAAAGGTAATAGCTTGATGAAAGAGGGCTTCACAGTAGATGGTTGGAGATAGGTAAAGTCAGTCTATGCTATGGAAGTGGAAATAGGCAAAAACTTAATAATGGCATGAGCATGGGTGGGAGGCTCATCTCAGGGTGAAATGTGAGACTAACTTGTATACAGACAAGTCTACTCTCACACTGTTGTCAGAGCAATGGATGGAGTCAGTAGCTAGGAAAAGAGTTTGGACTGAGATGAAAGAAATTTCTGCCCAATCAGTCAAGGACGCAATCTGATAATTTATCAACAGTGTAAGGCATCAAGAGAGATAGAGCTGGATGGCATCAGTGCATGGTAAAAAAAAAAATGCTGTGCTTTTTAGATAATGCTGCTGAACAGCAGCATGTAGATGAAAATAAGGTGAGGCCAAGATTAGAACCTTGGGAAACAACAAAGGCAACAGTTTGGGAGCCAGAAGAGAAGCCATGAATAGATAAATAACAATGCCATAGAATAAATGTCATGGGGGCAGTACGGTGGCTCATTGGTTAGCACTGCTGACTCTCAGCGCCAGGGACCCGGGTTCGATTCCACCATCGGGTGACTGTCTGTGTGGAGTCTGCACATTCTCCCAGTGTCTGCGTGGATTTCCTCCGGTTGCTCTGGTTTCCTCCCAAAGATGTGCAGGCTAGGTGGATTGGCCATGCTAAATTGCCCGTAGAGTTCAGGGATGTGTAGATTAGGTGGGTTATAGAGGAATGGTTCTGGGTGGGATGCTCCAAGGGTCAATGTCGACTTGTTGGGCCGAAGGGCCTGTTTCCACACTGTAGGAATTCTATGATCTATGAATAAGACTAGAAAAGGAATAAGAATAGTTCCACCCAGTTGGTTACAATGGACAGGCCTTGGAAGAGGATGGTATGATCAACTACATCAAATGCTACAGACAATTCAAAAAAGGAAGGAAAATTTACTTTCATCACAGATACTGACTTTTTCCTTACACCATTTTCTCTTTTTGTATTTATTTGCTCCTGCCTTTCACTCAATCCCTTTTGGTAATTCCTCCCTTCTCGCTTTTCTCTTTGTCTGTAAATGCTCAATAGCTGTTGTGACTCGAATCTTTTCCAGTTCTGATGACAGGTCAGCAACTTGAAATATTAACTTTGCATCTATCTCCACAAGTTTGCCCGATCTCCTGAATATTTCCAGTGTTTTCTAACCTTATATCTTAAACCTCACCAGTTAAGACAGTGTAGGACAGATACAAATCAAGAAAAACGAAGGAGAGAAAATATCTTGAAAATAATCTTTTTAAAGAAATATTAATGAAATTATACTTCTGAGTTAATGTTGTAAACTTTATATTCTTTGATCTAAGTCTTTAAAACTGAAAAACTGAGAGGAATAACATCTCTTTATTATTACAATCTTACAGGGCATTTACTTTATTGTTGCCAAAAAAGAAATAATATAAACATTATCTAACCATGACAAAGAAATGCATCTATATTGAAACTTAAATGATAAAATATTTCAATTATGACATCTCATGTATCCCATTAGGCAACAAACCATAAATGGGAGCACTTACCAGTTGGGCAAATGTGGTGACTTTCAATCTTTTGAATAATTCATCTCTTTTATATCTATAATCTATTCGGAGGAAAAAAAGGAAATTAAAATATTATTCAAAATCCTCATTTCAATACTGCAAAATGTACAAAAGCTTAATTTTGCAAAGAAGATCCATTTTGCAACAAACAATTTTAGGAGGGTATGGGAAGATATCTACTCTGTGGACATGGAGACCCCAAATCAAATGCTAAATACTTAACTATACTGATTATATTTGTAGTACAATAAGGTGATCTTGACCTTGGATCAATGAGTTGATTGTGAACTATTAATTATTGACGTGGATATCCAACCTTTCACTCAGCTTTTGTCACTCAGGGACCTATCCACTGATTGCTTATTTCAACAGTATTCTGAGCCAGGCTAAATATTCCCATTAACAGACACATTATACAAAGGAAGGAAGTAATAACTGGAAACAATGTGGAAAATAATTTACTGTACTCTTGTAGCAGTTAGACAACTCCTGCATTTAAATATGGAATACAATTGGAGGGGTTGAATGATTATGCTAAGAAAATATACTGGTATTTAACAGGATCAAGCTCAATACTAGTTTGTTGGTTTTACCTCTGTTTCAATAATTGGTTAGATATTTATTGAACACACTGTGTAATGTGTTACTTACAACGAAAGGTCAAACTATTTAAATTGTCAGACTTCATATAGTGTATAAAGCAATGCAAAAACTGTATAAAGTTTATTTATATTAATAATTTCAGGCTTAATCAGAATTTGTCCTTGTCCAGTTGGGACAGCAGTGGCTTATTTTTCTCTAGATTGTTTTAAATATTAGCTATCATATAATGCCAAAGAATTCGGCAAGCCTGAATTCAGTTTTCCTCAATTTTGGACTGCTTTAGATGACTTCATATCATGCTTGTGACATGAAACCTTTTAATTCATCCATACTGGCAAGTCAGTCTAAGACAGGTGAAAAGGTCAAAGAAAATTTAAAACACTTTAAAAAGTTTATATTAAACTCAGAATGGTGCTGGGAGAGGCAAATACAAAATTGTTGGCTTGGTATAACAAATATCTGTCAAGCTTTCGACTGCTCTCTTCCTTTCACTCTAATTCTATGTTGGATTTGAAGCTTTTCCTAACAGGGAGTGTACTTCTGCAATTTCACCAAACTTTCTTCATGAATCTTCTCTTCATGCAATTCTAACCAGCACATCTTCACCATTGCACTTCACTGTTTTATCATTCCCTTTAGAATAGTTACCATTGAGCTTGCACAAATAAAACAAAGAACTCGCTTACCTTGATCTTGCTTACCATTTGGTGATCTGTCACAGCTCATGGTTGACATTATGCAGGTTTATTTTCAGGCTAACCTGATGTTCATAAAGTATTTTCTATTTTAGCTGCTGAAAAACACCAGCTTACTGATGTTACTTACAACATCAATTTTGAGTCTTCCTATAGGTTGCTAATAATGGACTATACACTGAAAATGTTGTGCTAAGTTTGCACATCTTCTTCTATGGAATGACTTTATCTTGGATAACTAAAGGGCCTTTTATTGAAGGCTATTCATTAAGCACTTGGGTTACCTGCAACATAATGAAGTTACTGTGTTGACCAATGTAATTAGCTGTGTTAACAAAAGAGGCAGTATCGCTTATCCATGAGAAAATCTGGCAACTTTTCAGAGTCCATCTACAATTCCTTTCACGAAGGGAAAAGTACCAATACAGGTTTACAAATTTAATAAACTGCCTTTTGTAAGATCACTGGTTACTTGCAGAAAAATTCAACATAAAGAGTTGTTTAAAATTCTTTCCTAGAAAACAAAATTTGTTAAAAAGGAAAACTATTTCTTTAGCTCAGATATGTGCCTGACATGGTGAATTTCTGACATCTAAACTACTTAGAAAAGGTACTAGAAGAAGGTTTGCAATTGCAAAGCTTCAGTATTAAGTACAATAAACAGTTCTCCCAAATCACAGAGAAATCAGATTAGTCACCCCAGGTATGCTGTAGTGTGTAACCCTATCAATCAATCAGTCAGTTACAACATAACACTAGAGAAGTCTGGATGGACATCATTTACACCATTCAGGAGCAAAATGGTGCTTGGAAAATGTTTCTTTCACTTTTTTAATTGTATTTTCATGTGTTTATATTCCACATTCATTTTTTGATTACATGGCAAGGAAGGTATATTAATTCATTAACTTTCTGCACACTGTTCTGCATATGGGAGGTGCAAGGAGATTAAAAGAGTTTGAGTATTTCATTTGGTCTTGTTCTTGTGGATGGGATTGGGAGAAAGAGGTACAGAAAAAAAGTGCTTTACATGGCAAAAACTCTGCTGGTTTGCATTTTAGTCATAATATTTGTTTGGATAATAATAGTGATCATACTTTAAAATAATTTATTAGTTGCTAACTAGTGATACATTTTGAAGATACAATAAACAAAGTTCTTTCTGTTTCTCTCTCCACAGATATTGCCAGACCTACTGAGTTTCTCTAGCACATTGTGTTGGTTTCTCTTCTTAACCTGTTTTTAATGTGTTGTTCTTGTTTCCCATTTTTGCCTTTTGCACCTGTTGCCAAACTTTTCAAAAACAAACATCTCATCTGAAGCCAAGGACCAGTGTGATAGCTAGTTGGGAATGTCATTTTAGCTTCCTGTTCATTTTAAACATTTATGTCATATACCATTCTAAACCATTCATCACTTGCCATCTCAGTACAATTATTCCTGAATTGGAAAAATAATTACTTACTCTTTCTTAATTCTTCAATTTTTTCCATGTACTTTGAAAGGCTGTGGCCTGCAAAAATTAAGTATTTAAATTAAAATAAATCAGAAGTAAGAATGATTATGCATCAAGGATATTAAATTATCATTCAGAACTAATGCAGGAACACTAAAATGTTTTGTTAAAACAAGCGTTAATAGGCTATGTCATTACTTTTCAGAGGATGTTACTTTTCTAGCTGCTGACCGATAATGGGGCCGTCAATTATCCTAACTTAACTAGGACAGTAACAGTGTAGAGAACAATGAGGAGGTTTTTATAAAAGTGATAAGGCCAAGTACCTTAGGTAAAATGTCACCACCAATGTTTCTTCCTATGCTGGTCTTGGGACTTTCCAGTAGTTTGTGAAGGATGAGCCTCAAATAAGTCTCAGCAGAAGATGCACTCATCTTGGGCAACATGCTAAGATTTATGACATCTTAGTAACAATATAATAGTTACATTATATTGTTGGTCACAGGAAAAGATGACATGACTGCCTCCAAGTGGAACCGTCCAAGACTCAGGACTCCCCAGCAGCTTCGTTATATATCACAGAAGCTTCAGCTGAGGTACTAGATTAACCACTTTATATCCACTATCTCATAACAACTCACCTCTAAGCTCTTTTTCCCTTAGTTAACACATTATATAATGATATAAAGGATTATATGACATTTCCCACTACCTCTTCACCCCTCTGACTTCACAAATTCAGGCAGACTGGTGGTTTGATAATTCTCCCAGAATGTGCTCATTCTGGATTTAGAAGATCAAGAAGATATTGAGTTGAAGATTGCTGACGCTGATGCTGAACACCATTGGTAATCCATTACCTTACGCGGACGACCTTTGATTTCACAGATGTCCTTCATGGCATACAGTTGTGCTGAAGAAAGAAGTAGTTTCATCCTTAGTACCATGTACTGGCCATGCACCTAATCCCTCTCAAGAGGTTGGACATTGTGGACATTTTCATCACGCCCTGTGTTCTTTTTCCCGGTTTTCTAAGATAGTAGATTCTTTTCACACCAATGGTAGAGTGTTCTGCCTTACCACTATGTGTAGCAGACAGCTGTGCTACCAGTAGTGGTTTGAATCAAAGTTCAATGATCTCAGATGGACCATATTGCTTAATGTTAGCAATAGTATTCAATTGTTGTCTCAAGTTTTCTTGAGAGTTATCTTTGGATGATCCTTCAGTGGTATCAGGGATGGAAAACATTGCCTGCAGCCTTGTGAAATTTGTGGCTTCTTTCATACTGAAACTGTGAAATAAATCTCGCACTCCAACAAGCGATTCTGCCTAGTCAAGCCTCTTCTTAGGTTCAGTCATTAATCTTGGAAGGCCTATGAACTCCCTAGTGACTGTGTTATACACCAGCACGCAGAGATTCAACTTAGCTGATGGATTAACCCTTTTTATATCAATTATCTTACTCAGACGTATTACTGAAATGTATGCATGAGAACTTTTGTTTCCAACTCAATAAGGAAGCAAAGTTGTATCTAGTTCCGGCTCGTGAAATTGGTCAAATGAAGCAATGCTACAATGGGGAAGCTTTTGAGGAACAATAATTATAACAATGAGTTTGCACTGTTATGGTAAAAGGACAAGTGACAACGAAGCGAAAAAATACTTAACTTGAGGAGATCTAACATCAATTAGTTGAATACCAAGTGAATTGGCAAGGCAGCAAGTGAATAATGGGAGGTATTCAGGTTTAGAAGACATTTGCATAAAGGGGAAAAGAAATAGCTTTCCCTGGATGACAAAAGAGATGGAGAGAGAGTATAATGAGACCGCAAAAGGTGACTTGTCTCACATGTAAGGTTTGCAATATAGCACAGAACTAAGCTAAATATCAAAAGTACACAGAAACAGAGATGAGGAGGAATTTCTTCTCTCAGAGGGTTGACTGTCTTTGGAACTCCTTGTCACAGAGAGCTGTGGGAGCAGAGTTCCTGTGTATATTTAAGGCTGAGATATATAGATTTTGACCAGTAGGGGAATCCAAGGTTACGGAGAAAGGGCAGGAAAGTGGTCTTGAGGAGTGTTGGATCAGCCATGATCCTATTGAATGTCAGAGCAGGCTCGAAGGGCTGAATGGCCTATTTTTATTCCTTATGGTCTTACGGTCTGACTAGCAGCTGACATAAAAGGAAACATGAATGCCTTTTATAAACATATTAATAGTGAAAAAAATCGCCAAAGGAATAGTGGGGTCAATTAGGAACCAAAAGGACGAAAATTGTATGAAGGTAAAGAACATGACTAAGTTGCAAAGTGAGTACTTTGCATTTGTGTTCACTACAGGAGAATGTCATCAATGTAGGAATAAAAGTTAATTGCAATATTGGACAAATAAAGATGATAAAGAGTACATTTTTAAAAAGGTTCACAATCCTCAAGTTATACGGGTCACTCAGCATGAATGGATGCATCCAAAGTTACTGATGGAAGGAAGGGTGGAAAGCTGGAGAAGCAATTCTTCTTTATGTATGGGAGTGAGGTGGGAAGATTGGAGGGTTGTAAATTCTCTATGGCTACTAAAAACGTTGCACGAGGGGCACATGGATAAACCTGACAACTACACAGCATTCTGTGGGGAGCTTGGAGAATCAATAATCCAAATCAAAATTGCTATTTAGAAAAATTAGAATAAATGAAATTCAGCACAGGTTTACCAAAAGTAAAATGGGTTTGATTAACTTAATTGAATGAAGGTAGCATGATTGATGTCATGAATATGAAACTTTCAACAGCATTTGAAAAAGTACCACAAAATATCCTTGTTAGAAAAGTTAAAGCCTCCTGTGATTAAATGGACAGTGATAGTGTGGATATAAAATTGGCTAAAGAACTGCAAGCAGAGAGTAATGGAATTGTTATTTATCAGATTAGAAGGAAGTATGCAATGGTAAAAACTGAACGATCTGTGGATGCTTGAAATCAGACACAAAAGAAATTGCTGGAAAAACTCAGCAGGTCTGGCAGTGTCCTGTGAAGGAAAATCGGAGATAACATTTTTCGGTCCAGTGACCCCTCCCCAGAACACCTCCTCAGTGTTCTAAGGAAGGGTCACTGGACCCGGAATGTCAACTCTGATTTCTCTCCATAGATGCTGCCAGACCTGCTGAAATGTACAATAGGGTTGCCCAAGTGACAGTATTAGAACCACTATTCTATACAACAGAAGCAAGGAACACGAGTAAAACTTTCAGCCCCTCGAGCTTTTTCGGCCATTCTAGATCATGATTCACGTCTATCTCAATCCTATTTTTCTGTTCTGTTCCCATATTCTTGTTTTCATGATTATCTAGAAATCGATCTATTTCAGTCTTGAACTGTCAATGACTGAACATCCATGGCCCTCCAGGATGTTCAATTTCAAAGATTTACTGCTAAGTGAAGAAATTCCTCCTAATCTCAGTCCTAAACAGTTTGTCCCTTATTTTGGGACGGTATTTCCTGGATTTGAATATTTGGAATAATTTCAAAGTTTGGTGATTACGGGAATTTTGGAAATACAGCCAGTAAAAAGTGAGCAGGACAATCACAGTCTTCAGGAAAACTGAATGGTGAAACAGACAGACACCTTGCAGATTATATTTAATGTAAAGAAACGAAGCATTAATTAATACATTTTGGCTGGAAAAATGAGGAGAGAGCTTGGAGTTTATGCAGACAAATGTTTAAAAGGTGGCAGGACAAGTATGGAAGGCTAGTACAGAGAGAAATATTTATTTTAAAATGTTTATTTTAAAAAAGGCAGATGGTACAAAAGCAAGGAAGATATGCTAAACCTTTATAATATGCTGGCAAAATATCAGCTGGAGTTTTGTGCCCAATTCTGATGACTGAATATTAAGAAGGATCACAAGATGTTGGAAGTGAAGATGTAGAAAAGATTTACTAGAATTATATCAGGAATGTGGAACTTCAGTTACGTGGGAAGACTGGAGAAGCTCAGACTGTCTCCTTTGAGAAGAGAGTTTTAGAAAGAGATTTGATAGAGGTGTTCAAAAATATGAACAGATTTTGATAGAATAAATATGCAGTAACTATTTTCAGTGTCAATAATCAGGTTTAAGGTGATAGCAATAAAAATTAGAGGCAATGTAAAGAAATACTTATGTTTCCAAAGCAAGCTGTGATTGGAAACACACTGCCTGAAAGAATGGTGGAAGCAAACTCAGTTGCAACATTCAATAAGGAATTGGCTAAATGCTTGAAGGGTAATAATTTACAGGTTACAGGGGCAGACCAGGCATAAATCGGGCAACTTAACAGAACAGCTAGCATGGGAACAATGGTCTGCTTCTGTACTATTTATTCCAAATACTTATCACCATTTCAATGGAATAACAGGTGTAATTTCCCCTCCCGGGTGTGGAGTAAGGAATCACAACATCAGAAAATATTGTGTGGATGATAAAATCTGATTCTCGATATCCAAACAGGATTTTCCAATTTTCTCCACAAGCCATAATGGCAAATTCATAAACTCTCCACTGAGCAGCAGCTACCTTATTTCCATGTATTTACATTGTATTAAAAATCCCAACCACCTGATTTGTATCCTACTTCCAAATTTCCTCACCTTTACTGAGAAACTAGATTGCACCAATTCCTGACATGTAAATCAGAGGGGGAAGCTGGCGCCTGCAGTTTGTAAAATGTTTGGTCCAGCAATTACTACCACAGCACAATGTCCCTGCACGCTCCATGGCCCTACACCCTTCATCTATACAAGTCAGCATCAGCAAACCAGCCACAAAAACACAAGTTACTGGAAAAGCTCAGCAGGTCTGGTAGCATCTGTGAATAGAAATGAGACTTAAAGTTTCGTGTCCGGTGACCCTTTCTCAGAACTTTCTCAGCAAACCAACAGCCTCGCACAGCATCAGACCTGCTCTTGGACCAACTAATGCATCACTTCAGCCCTTCACCACTTTATTCTGAAGGTCAGAGACACATGTTGCATGCTTCTGACAGATTGCTTTGTGTGCAAGGACACATACACTTCACG